GATGCTTTTTTATATTGTTTTCCGTTGTGTTGACAGAAGAAACTAAATTAACCTCTCCCCCCTTAAACTCAATTAGACTTCCCTAAAATTTTGGCTGGATCCGCCCTTGTGCAGATCTTGTGTGTTGTAATTTCAGAAAGAAATATAATAACAAAATGAATTTCATGCACTTCTGTTAAATGGTGGAAAGAATAAAATAAACCCGAACACCGAAGATCTTTCGTTGTTTATACAGAGTCATTCTTTCATTTTATATATCCAATACTGTTCTCTTTTTTTCTCGTGCCGTTTCCTCGTTCCTCGGCTGTAACATCTGCCGCAGTAAAACCTGTTTTGTCAACTTACTCTTCCTGAGTTCTTCTCTCAGCAAATTGAAATTATCATTAGCAGCGATGAAAGACTTTTCCTGTTTTCTCTGTCGTTCTCTCGTCGTTAGAAGGCTGGTGTTTAGCGACAGCTGTTCGGACCTCGCCGAATCGATACCTCTTCGGAAGGAGTTAAGTCTTGTGTTGGTCGAGTGGTACCGAATCATCTGTTCCTTGTATTCCTGTTCAGCCTTGGAGATTTCTTTTCTAAGGTGTGTGCAACGGTGCACTGAGTCTTCGAGGTCATCTTCTAATAGCTTTGTCATTTCCTTTTCATCGGAATACTTCGTGTTCATCTCGGCCTTGACAAGCTGTGCTCTGATATTCTGGATATCTCTCTGTTCTGTCTTCATCTCTTCTTGTAGCATGGTGATATGGTCCCGTAGTTTACACAAATCTTTTGCCAATCTAGAACGTTCAAGGGAAGCGGTCCTCACATTTTCCCTAAAGTTATCTATTCTGTGGTGAACGTCTTCAAATCTCCCGCTAATGGCCCCAGTCTCTCTTTCTGGTTTTTTTATCCCGGTTGACGAGTCCCCCAGCACAGTCTCGGTGTTTTCCATTTCTCCTTGTAATGCGTCTAATTTAACTTGGCACGTTGCGTACTCGAACTTCCTCCTCTGTGCTCGTTCAAATGCAAGATTGTTTTCCTGTTTCTTCTCAGGTATCCATTTGGAGTGGATGTACTTTAGTTCCCTGGGGTACCCCCACGGGCCTATTTTTGACCGCCACTGTTTTGCCAAGCACAGAGCTTCGAATGCCTTCAGCATCAAATCAGGAACAAGCCTCAGAATGAGGTTGAACTGGGAGTCACGTGGTTTAGTACTGGTTTCCGTGTAATAAAGGGCATCGGCGCTTTGGGGACTGAACAAGCGGTGGTTGATAGGGCCTGGGGTCAAGAGACCCTCCCAGCGCCAGACTACACTTGCCAATGCCTTTGGTAAATGTCTTTTAGGATCATCGTTGAAGAACTCAAACAAAGGGAGAAATATTTTGGTCCTAAACTGTTCTAGTAACTCCTTTGATTCTTTGAACGCCAAAAGAAAGCGAAGAAGCATGTCTACTTGTTGATCAGAATCAGGATCAACGGATAACGAATCTTTCTTGTCTTTTCGTTTCTGTTTCTTTTGCTGCCAGTCGACAAGCTCCTCAATCTGTTCTACCGATACAAAATCAGTGGCTCTGCCTCCCCCTGCTGTCCTTCGGTTCCACGATTTGTACGTGCTTCTTGCCTGCTTGAGCCTGCGATACAAGTCCAGCAGAAAAGTGTTCTTGTCAGCTAACATGATATCGAGGTTCTCTTCAAAGCGCGCCAATTCTTGATCGAGTCTCGCTTCGCGAGAGGCTTGAGAAACCAATCTTAGATCATCAATCTAAAACACAGTGTATCATTCATTCAATAAAAGATAAAATCCCTTTGACCTGGATCACACGTCTGAGTGTTTTTAAGTATTAAGATACTCAGTTTTGATTGGCTGATGATGCAGAATTTATTTTCTTAATTGGTCTGATGATACACAAGCTGAAGTACACAGGATTTCAAATAGCTTATTTTTGATGGGGAATAATTCCTCGCACACTCCATCACAAATCAATATTATTTTTAACTCGCAAAATTATGAACAAATTTCACCTGTGTTGCCAAGATTTTCGAAAAAATAAAACTTTGGAGATACTTGAAATTAAAGATTCATTTTACATGCTCTAGAACGATTAACAACACAAGTGTGGTGTCTCTTTATTCGACAAAAAAAAAAGTTTTCATATCATACGCACTTAAATGGTTTTCCATTTCCTTGGTAGCACTGAAAAGGTTCCCTAATTTTTTTTCGATAAATCACTTAATTTTGTTCTTAATTTCAATGAAAATGATTTCGTTTTCGAGAATTTGAGGTGTCTAGATGTTAATTATTTTACTAAAAATAGAGAAAAAAAAGGAAAAACAAAAAAGGAAAAAGTCTTCATGAATACCATCCGATCGGCTAATGGCTTCCCGCAAAGATACATTTGTATGCAGACCTTATAATTCTTTGAAATGTTTGTCGTTTGTTTGTTTGCAACATATCTATTCTAGAACATATCTACGAGATTCTAAGTGTGAACTATTCAGTAAACCAATCAAAGCCGAGCTGAATTGAATACCTTTGACTACACACACTTAATGTTTATTAAACATTAAAGAATTCAGTACTTTGAGTTCATTTATTTAATTTGAAAATGAAACTACAGTTTTTCTGACTGTTTTCTTTTGATTTTCTTTGCATTGCATTTAGTACTATTGCCTACAGAAGATGAGAAACGCTGAATAAAAGAGTAGACTATAAATTGTACGTACTTTACCTAAAAAAATATTGATAACAGATCGATTTATACTTACCGTTGTTTTTGATCGGTCAAGAAGAAACATGGTTCTAGTAATACCAAATAAATCTCTCAGGAGTAACGATAATTTAAATCACATAAAAAGTTGTTACAGAAAACGATTCGAAGAGGGTGATATATGGACTACATATGCTCACTCCACGAGAAATCAACTTTAGGAACTTCGCAAGAACTCAGTTCAAAGAGCGACAGCATAAATCCTTTGATTAACTGTTCCCTCTGCCAATATCAACCTCCAACGAAGAATTCGCTCATTTAGTACTCAATGTTTAGCGTTGTTTGCGACCTATTACGTATCCTAGAGATTTAAGTTATATAGGGTTTTCAAACTAGCACCAATCATAATATGAACGAAAATAGGTGAGATGATAAATGATAAATAATATATAAGTGAAATGCAAGAAGAATGACAATAGAAAACAAAAGGTTTGTGTATATAATTGTCGAGAGTTTTTCGTATTTGTTTGGGAGCGTTTTGCGGTGGAAGTAATTGGAAAAAAACGGAGTTGTTTTTTGATAGCATCTTCGTAATTAATACCCCGCATCTCTTAGCAGCTACAGGAAAGAAAAAAAAATTCAAAATTTTGAACAATTAAAGTCTTGCGATTGAGCCTATAGCTCTTAGGTACTCGTTTATCAAGAATGAATACAAGATAAAGAATGAAGATTGTTGAAGGTTGTTGACGAAAAGGAATCGATGAATAATAAAGGACCCAATATTGAACCCTGGGGTAGATAGTGAAAATATTAGTGTATTAATTCAACTTCATAGGCTTTTGAAAGTTCTATTTATAGGTTTTATTTAATAAAATTAAAAAAGAGAACGAAGAAGAAATAAAAATGGACTGTAAGCAATTTAACTGTAAAAAAATATTAAAAGTATCGAATCTTGAAAATCGTGAAAATATTGGTGTATTAATTGAACTTCATAGGTTGTTGAAAATTCTATTTATAGATTTTATTTAATAAAATTAAAAAAGAGAACGAAAAAATAAAAATGGACTGTAAACAAAACTGTAAAAATATATTAAGAGTATCGAATCTTGAGATAGAGAAAAGTTGTTGTAAAAATGTCTGTTAAAATAACACGAAATTTTGTATTCAAAAATATATTTTATTTAGCTTTATACAAAGTTTAAATTTTAGATTGAAAAAAAAAAGATTGCATATGTTACGATAATTATGCTATTTTACGTTTAATATTTTTTAAAGATTAGTTTTTCTAATCTTGTATTATTCTTTCAAAAATATCTTAAAATATAATGAGCTTTAAACAGGTACTTTTAAATAGCAAAACTGAGAAATAATTACCGTAGTTCGAAAGAGCATGTTAAGATTAGAGAAACGGCGAATTTTGAAGAGAATAAGTTCAAAACTCACGAAGATATGATTTTTGAAAAGGGTGTATGTCGAAAGAAAACTTTTGCTGGTATTTAGGCATCTCTTGCCTACCAACGAATGTTTTCATACAAAATTTCGATCTTTGAAAACAAACTTCACTACTTTACTAAATCAAACATGCTTTTTCTAGCTATGGTAATGGCTTTCTGTCCTAAAAATTTTGGAGATCTTTAAAATAACAAGAGAAAAGCTCATTGAGAACATTTTCCAAAATTTGATTTAACAATTTCGTTTCCAAGGCAACCTTACGGTATGACGTCTTTGGAGAAAACTTTCAATTAACCGTTGTTTATGACAACCGAGAAAGACGTTGGCATATTGTTCACATGAAAAGTATAAAAAGTATCACGATTGTGCTTGAGAAAAGTTCTGAGTTCTAACGTGCGTTCTGATTGGTCGAAATGCCACTTTAGAGGAGAGTTTCTAAAATGCTTACGTCATTTCTCTTTCTTTCATTCGAAAAATAGAACAGTTAGTTAGTTTGTTCGTTAGGTGTTTAAAAAAGCGATAAGCAATAGTCTTCTGTTTTAGCTCACTTTGCTTCATAGTTTCCTACGCTTCTCTCGGTGTTCTCTCAACATCACACGTAGATTAGAGTATGTATCCTTTAGAAAATCTTAATTTTAACGCGCACATTCTAAAAGGGTACTGTTGCTAAGCTACCGTCTACTTCCCTGCTTGTCTGGAGTAAAGCTACGTCCTCGATGTGTTTTAAGTTGTACGGACCACCATCAATAAACTGGCTTTCATTCGGGAGATGCGCAGCTGTGGAGCAAATAAAAGCGGTTTTAAAATAACACCTACAAATATCTATTGATAGGCTTCAAAACGATTACCAGAGAAAAGGAAGAAAGGAAAGCGGTTATATAGCGGACACCTTCGGAACCTTGCATGCTGTCCGCTTAGCTCAGGTCAAACGTCGAACTTTCCATGAGCCGAACCTAATTAAAACAATGAATGCGGTCTTCTTTGATGTCATTAGGTTCGACTCATGTGAAATTCGACGTTGATATGAGCCTTAGTAAAGGGTGTCCGCTAAATAGTTTTTTTATTGGCAATATAAAAAATATAATACCCGTGCAGCTGTTCGTTTAATAAAAAGTGAGATATCAACGTCACTGTATCCTTTTACAGATTCAAAATGGACTCGGTCATACTAACCTATTTTCTACCTGGTTTGAACACGACAACCCTTTTTGTCGGAAGCAGGGGTACAAGTCCAAATCAAAGAGAATTGTTAAAGAGTAAGACAAGAATTTTTTCTGATTGAACCTCACCTTTTTCTCGAAGAGTTGACATTAAGGTTGACAAGGGACGAAAGCAGGGTTCTTCGTCAGAAAAGGATTCTAAAGAGACAAGTGGGCTAAGAATGTTAGTAGACAAAGTTCGATCAGGTCAAAATGAATATTCATAAGATATACAATTGGGTTAAATATGGTTAAATAAAATATTTAAGCAAAGTTAGACTTGAACTAAGTTGCCTGTTATCGCAAGTATCTGTCATCAAAAGGCTATAGCTTCGCGGCCATC